ACATACCACCAGATTCCGTTAAACATGTGAAACTTCTGAACCGCTTGCTAGTGAGTTCATGAAGGGTATTTTCTATAGCTATCAACTCTTTGTTTGCTAATGTCTCTTTGCACCAGACCATGGACCACTTTGTTAGACTGTGCCAGACGCGTTTGTACTTTTGACCTTCTTCAGGAAGAAGGTCTCCTAAAAAGGAGGGTGGCTTCTAAAGGCTGCCTAGCAACGTCCACGGCACGCCATGGCATAAGCGGGAGCCTGAATATTCAGTAAAAAAGGGAGATTTTAATCAGACAGAAGTTTAAGGGAGATCGCTTAACCACAGCGCAACGCACAGTACATGCAGTCGGTCGTACGCACCCAGCCGCTCAAATAATCCTGCTCTCATCGAGACCTCAATATCCGATGTACACCGCTTTGGTACTTAACCACTCTGTTTCATACGTTTTGCACCTAGTTTACACGCAGTTGCGGTGAAACGTACATTAGCAGAACAGACAGGAGTTTAGGCAAACGTACCCTAAAACGTTTGCCTCGTTATTTGACCGAGATGACTAATCGGTCGACCGATGGCATCCACGCTGAGCCCCAAAAACCTGCCACATCTATCGTTGGTAGTGTGAGGAGATTTGGGAGATTTTAATTGAGATTATATCTTGCTAAAGAGGCCAAGCTATACTGAACAGCCGAGAAGTACTGCACAGCTGTTTCATCGTACTGGGAATCATCAGCAGTGCGCATCTCATAAAATTCCAAGAAGTCACGAATCGTATCTAAGTGCGAGCGGAGCCCAACCGCTCGTAGCGAGGTTCAAAGTATTAGCCGGGTGGTTGCGGATTAGAGACTGGTTTGACCAAGGATTGCTCGAACCCAAGTCTATCAGCTGAACAAGCTGGTTGACAGACGGCTGGTCCAGTGATAACAGCTTAAATATGTTAAAATGCTCACAGTGACATCTTATTTTATTCTGGTCATAATAAACTTTTGCATGACTACAGTCTACTACGTGGCATTTCTATGGGCCAGGCATTTAATCTCTATAGTTTATACATGTTCAGTAACTCCAAGTCCTTGATTTACCCTTTTCAAGTTTGAAAGCCATAATTTGGGAAGGAGTGAGGATACTCATATACAACAGAAAGGAATGTATTCTAATGACACTGATCTAAGCTGTAATTATCAGAATTACAATAAATGTGGAGCTATTGTGCCCCGATGCAACACATGTTTTGTACTGCATTGCGGCATGTTCGAAAGTTTGTTGCTGTGTGAGTATTCTGGCTCAACTGACGTCCTAGCCAGTCAATTCTAGCCGAGGTCGGTAATATCAATGACAATAATTTAGCATGTCTGCCGGAGACAGAACCCTATTCTGAACCGTGTGTATGGGTCAGCCGTTTTAGGAAGTCGAAAGTGGGTTCCGAGGGAAAGAACTATTTCCCCAAGAGAGATCGCAATGCGAAGTATTCCCATCAGGTGAAGTTGTCTACTCGACAGGGGCGATTTCTCACTGAGGACTCCTTCGTGGAAAGCAGTATTGTTCCACTTTTTAAGCCATGATCTAAGCCCGTTCGTGCTTCAAATACATAACCATAGACTGGATACTCATACACATTGCATAGGCATCGGTGTTGTTAGGTTCTTGCCGTCTTCACTGTTTTCAAACAACGGTGCCGACTGTCCATCAGATAAAGTCAGCATTTCGAAAAAGTTTCAGCTTTCGTATGCGAAAGTTCATTTAGCTGGGTATTTTCAGGCTAAGTTTTGCGGTCAGAACAAGCCGCAGTTGAGCTTTTTGTGCTGCTACCTCCGAAAAACTCGCCTGTGAATCGTGGTCTGTTACAGTAGATTGTTGGGTGTATGTTATCAACGCAGAGTAGAAAACTGGTGTTTTCATCTTGGTTATGGTTTCCGAACCACCAGTAGTGAACTAGTCTGCGGTCAAGTTTACAAATAGTTCAGTAATGTTGAACAACTGTCAACTACCGACAGATCGTTTGATAAATGGTATTTACCACTTTTTGAATCCATGTGCTTCTAGTTGTATGATCTGGAAATTGAGCGTTGATTGAGGTTCGCTTTTGTGTTTGATCGAAAGCGGTTCCTCTCTTTTATGGAACGACAGCTATAAATGAATTGATGAGAACCTACTTTCCCGGTGTCTGCTGTTAAACTTAATTTGAACCGACATTCTTTAGTGACAACCGAATTTATCCGGACTCTTTTCCTCAATCCTATCGACACTGAGATAGATTATGGTTGTGAGGCAGCGAAACGTTAGTGTTAGAGGCCTATTTCGCGCATTCGATAGTGATGGTGACGATAATGATCCATCAGAGGAGGTGCAGTGAGTGCGATCAAACTGATGGGATTTAGGAGTTATGTTTCTACCTACGTGGTGCATTTTTGGGCCCATAGCTTATAGCAGATACAGATCTAAGATTATTTGTAACTTTTTAGGAACATTTATGAGTTGGTTTGACCGCGATTGTGTCAACGAAGTCTCCGACAAAAATAGCTATCCCATTGCACTTTCGTTGACGCGAATGTAAGCGGGCAACTATGGGTTACTGGCAGAAACCCTGGTTATTGTGACTTCTCTCCTTGACTACAAATAGTCGGTTCAGGGATGGGGAGTATTTTCCTATTAGGTTTTGGGAGAACGTTTTCCGGGGAACATTTCGGTTACTAGCCTTCCTAGTGAGAAAAATGACATGATAGAGAGCATTTAATTTCTAAAAAAATCAGTGCAATACAGTTTCGCTTCAATAATTATTGCGATGCAGCCTCACTTCGGTCCGCATTTTGTGTTGTGGACTTCATCCTTGAAATCGCATTCTTGGTTTATCACTTCAGGTATTCAAAGAAAATGTGGATCCAAGTGAGCTCTCAGGGACCAACAACAATAACATGACTCAGGCCACGATCACCCTGTCAAATGCAGGCCAGGTTAGTTGCGGTATCAGTCCCACCGTCAACATTATGGACACCGCAAATGCGGCTTCCGTTAATCCATCCGTGTGTGTGGTTGCAACCGATGGTGACTGTGGCAGAGACGAAAAGACATACACTACGAATAATCCATTTCACACGGCTTCAGAATCGAATAAGATTCATCAACCAGATGAGAGTGAACAGACTGAAATATGTCCCCTAAATGTGGCAATGGTCCCCAAAAAGGACACAGTAATACCGAACTCGACTGCTTCCGTGGTCTCCGAACCTCTGATATTAATGCAAACTGTGAATACAGATTGTTCAGGCACCGGCACTCAAAATGTACAGGACCTGTCGACAAGGGGGGCGACTAGCGTCATGTACTCTACTAAAGAGGACGATGGACAAACCTGTGCCCCGAATTCAGTCACCGGGCGCTCCACTGGTTCATTAGGCGAAATTGAAATATATTGTGGTGAGTTCGCACCATTTTTCACCATGTTTTCTTCTGAGCATTTCGAAAGTTCTGTACTCTGTGACCCTGTATCCACAGGTTGTTGCGAAAGATTTCCTTGCTAAATGATAAACAGCCAGCGGTAATGCCATTGCTGGGTGGCCTCGTCTCTCAGTGTATTTCGAGTACTTGGACCTAAAAAAGTCTTACATTTTTGAGAAAACCCATTTGAGGTATGGGCTTCGGCAGCCACTTTCAACGCTTGTTAGGAATCCCTCCTTCTAGCTTCATTCTGTTGATGATACGCACGACGTCACGTCAACCATATGAGCATTTTCGGCTGTTGCTGATACCTTAAAAACCTGAGACTCAGGTATAAAATTTTCATCAGCCCGGACACTAGCTCATGTAAGCACCAAACTGGTACGCTCCAAAATAACTTCGATTCCTCTACCCAGAAATAAGTCTTTGGATGAGCGTACCACAAAAATAATTGGAATGGCAATTTCTGCCTGTTCAATGGTTCAACTTTTGACTAGCAGCCCTCTTTTCTATTCGAACTCTTAAAGGCTACATCAGAAGCCTAAAACTTTCCATCAACGGCTGTTGAAAACATGGGTGTTGGATTATTTTCCAATCAGTACCTGTCCCTCGTTGGCCAAAATGGTTGCATAAAATTCAAGGATAGTAGGACTGCCCGCTTATTGATTAGGAATATTTAGGTTCACCATGGATGCCAAATCAACGTCGACGGTCTGCTTTGAAAGGCAGAAGGGGCTTTCCACTCCGTCTGGGCTTTTCGGGATGCGTGGACTGACATCGTTACCAACCGGTGTCACCAGTAGTCAACAGAGAACACGCTTTAGGATGATGTATACGATGACAAACTTCGATGGATAGTAAATCCATCATTAAAAATCCTAGGTTGTTGCTGGAATAAACGTGACTGAACATGCTCCGGTATTCACCAGAAGTCCACGACACACAAGCATCAAATCTAGACCCTTGAAGGGATATTTATTAGGATTCCCAATCAGATTAGCTTTCAAGTGATATCATCAGGATATTGGAGCGTCAGATGACACGAGAAGTAACATAAAGATATCCTACCATGCTGTGCGCTGATTGTGTGTGGAATCGAGGATGCTTCCCCATACTAAGGTTCGATCACAAGTTACACAAAATCCTTCAACTGTGTATTTTTTATATTTTAAGACCATTTCGATGAATCTAACTAAAATTCATTATATTGTCCCGGTAATCATCCTGGAATCTAATGTGGTCGTGTAGCCATACAATTATCAGACCGAGAGCTAGTGGCATAACTTTGGAAATTACAAACTAAGGTGCCCGTTGATTCACAAGGTCACTGTGAGGGAGGCCGACACTAGTCATAGCGCTCACGTTCACGGTACTCGGTCAACTTAGCTTCGGCTAAGTATGTGCACTTAGGTTCACGCTTTTGTCAAGCACCGGTGCATGCTCTTCACCGACATAGGTAGACTTTCGCTACTGTTGTGGGTACGGATCAGCGAGATACCTATCTAACAGTCCACTGAGCTGTTTTTAGGTATTGCGGTGTGGTAATCACCACTTGATTTGTAGGGCACGTGTTTTCTTGTTTTGTTCTGCATGTGGGTAGCCAGCTTAACTCACGACAGAAGTCTGAATAATGTTCAGTAGCATCAACTTAACGTCACTGAAACTCAATCAATGTGATTTCTAACCGTGTCTTGTTTTCTGGTCCCATAAGCTTTCCTGCTCTCACACTCTACCTGTTTCACACTGGGAGAGAACAACTTATAAACCACATTTCCAGTTTGTTTCCCAGAACAAATCGCTGCACAGTGTGACTGCGCGACTGACGCTTACGCTCTTGTTCTTAAAATTCCTGCATTTGAGTTTGAGAGGTTTTTGGTTCGTTGAAGCGAGCGTAAGTTACAACAAAAGACCTGGCCAACCGATCAGTGTTTTACTCTTATTTTCGGTGGTTCAGCCTCAAGTTTAAACCAAAATTAACTCGACGATTCGGGTTGAGCGAATGCTGACCAGTTGTTTATAGCAGTCACATTCATTGGAGGAAAGTATCCGAATAAGTCAACGTACAATATTTTGCGTGTAAAAATTCCTAAGCAAAGATGACCTGCAAAAATTGCTGTTTGGAATTCGACCAGAGAAAAATGACAGATGTACGTTTAACAGTCAGAAGCGGATCGGCATGTTTGTGGCACCTACGTGCTACTCCTTGGTCTTTATAGGGTGGGGTTTCCACACAATATTAGTCAAGTGACAGGTAAAGAGTAGCAATCAGATGTTCCTTAAATGTCTAAAGTGAACAGCATATATGTAAGTACAAATCGTGGCTACGGATTACTGATGTAGTCATTCGGTGAAGATTTCGTTCAACACAACTCCGAAAGTATCAAAAGTACCTCTTTCAAAGTAGTGAAAGAATTGAATACACCGGAAAGTGACGTAGCCACACGACGCTTTAAATTTACCTGACTACGTCCGACTAGATCCGTTAACTAGTATTAATTATCACATCATAAATGTTCAGTTACGTGAACCAGCGTCGGCTGGTCAAGTGAGAAGAAGCTTAAATTTCGCTGCGTGCGAACACCGATGAGGATTTCAGACACTCTTAAGTGTCTATAAAATTAGTTCACTGGTCTACCAAGAGACAGCGCCCCAAGGAACAGCACAAGGAATTCACAAACATCCAGTCAGAGAGTATACAGAAATCGTTTTTTCTTCAGTTTTACAACCACTCTTCCGACGGCTTGTTCCTCATAACTGGCAAAATTACCGTGCAGTGTATTCGCCAAGCTAACATTTAAAGTAGCTGATGATGGGGTCGATACATGCCGTAATCCTCCAATAATGCGAGGAACCAGGTTGTACGGCAGTGAAGCATAGGTGTTGAACACTAATGTCATGCTGTCAATCATGATGAGCATATTTCGGCAAGCTATCGTGCGTTTCACTGTGGCAAAAGGCTTTCCGAAGATTAAGTGAAACCATCAGATATAAATTCGAAAAACCTACAGAGGCATGCGATCCATTTGAATGTGCCTGCCACTGATGAACAAACTATTGCAGTTGAGTCTGCTATATTTTGCTTACCTCCATATGTAGTGAGAATGTTCCCTGCCGGATTCGGTGCTATGGTTTTCCACAAATACCTTATCTTGAGACGTCGCAGTGTCATCATCATCATCATCAAAGACAGCAACATCAGTGTTGGCACTGATGCTTCACTGCCG